GACTTAACCTATTTCCTATAGCAACTTCTATTCAATTAAATGTGCTGCCATCGTGTAATGCCTAATTAGAGATAATCTTTGTGTCTAGGGATGTACTTTGAATATTCAGTTGTCTTTTGATCATATGTTTGAGAGTTTCGGTTAATAGGACCATAATTAATCTTTAAAGGCAAGAAGACACAAACTGTCTTGTCTTGGTCTTGCTTCACTGCCTCTGGCAAAGAAGGGAGAGACATCTTAATCACTTAAAAAGATGCAATAAAAGCAAATTGTGAAAAGTAGAATTTTAAGGCTTGTTTTAAAGTTATGACTAAATTAAACATCCAGATTACTCTTTTTGGCTTGTTATAATGGAGTGGGCTTGGAAACCTCAGCAGTTTGACCACTGAATACATTGCAGCAATTTTAACCAAGAAGCTATTAACACTCACTGGAAATGTTTCCTGGCAAGGTAGTGCTCTTCTTGCACAACCCACCCCTCCAACCCTGGTACAAAAATGCTGACTTTTGGGAACATTTTAATAGACAGCTAAAAGTTTGATGAAATGCTCTTTTTTAATTTTTAATTCATTTGGACTTTTTAAGACTGATTGTGCTGTTCGAGTATACTGGTGCTTCAGAGAAGAAAATAGCTTTGGGGCTGGGGTGCAGAGAACAGTTTTAAATCATTGTCAAGGTTTCAGATTTTTAATAAGGATTTTTGTTCATTTTTTAACAAATAATATTTGCTTTAGTAACTCACAAAGAACAGTCTGACGAAAAAGAAAAAATAATGCTATGATTGCCGAGGATGACATCAGTGATGATTTGTTGCTAAAGGGAGTTGTTTTGCATTATATCAGGGCCTGTAATTTTTATCAGTGATCTGAATAACTGGTGGTAGATTAGCCACATGCAAAATAACTACTGAAGGAGAATCTCATTTTGTGAACAGCTTAAAATGATTGGAGGGGGGCATTTTGTGAAAAGCAAATTGTTTAAATTATTTTAATTACTTAAAAGTGTAGGATTATGGCTAAAAACTTGTAGGATGTTAGTTAAGAGCAATAACTCAATGAGAAATAATTCTGTTGTGTTTTTCTCAGCCCTGGCTGCAAATTAGAACTATCACCTGGGGAGCTTTCAGAAAAATTAAATTAAACTTTAAATAAAGTATGCAGGCATTAATACTATGTTTAAGCTAATGTGTGGCAAGAATTAAGAACCACTGATCTATGACTAAGTGATATATTTAAGTCAGCCAACACCTGGAAAGAATGGAGAGAGTGAGCTCTGTTTCAGATCCTGTGCCAGCTTTTATAATGACAGTCTTGTATTGAGGTCTCTATTTTCCGTTAGTTCTTACTGAGTCACTAGCCTAGGTAATTAAGAAACAAATTATACTTCCAAAAGCTTTCTGTGTTTTATGACTTGCAAAAGCATGGGATTTTAAGATGGTACTAGTTGAATAACAGTACCACTCTGAATTTTTTTAATCTAATTCTTTTTTAAAAACATTTTACTTATTTTTAGAGAGGGGAAGGGAGGGAAACGCCAATGTGTGGTTGCATCTCACACACTCCCCACCAGGGACCTGACTTGCAATCCAGGCATGTTCCCTGCACTGGGAATCGAACCAGCGACCTTTTGGTTCGCAGGCCAGCATTCAATCCATGGAGCTACACCAGCGAAGGCTCTACTCGGAATTTTATTGAGAGAATATGTTCTGGTGAAAGTTACTTTCTTATTTTTTTTTAATTATTTTATTATTTTTAAATTTCTTTTAAAGATTTTATTTATTTTTAAAGAGAGGAGAAGGGAGAGACAGAGAGAGAGAGAAACATCAATCAGTTGCCTCTGGCATGTCCCCAACCTGGGACCTTGCGCTCAACCCAGCCATATGCCCTAGCAGGGGATCGAACCAGTAACCCCTCAGCCTTTGGGACGATACTCAACCCACTGGACCACACTAGCCAGGGCTAAAACAATATTCAATGTATACTGTGGAGCTATGAAGCAAGAGTATGAAAGGATAATTTTTATCTTGAGAAAGAGAATTAAGTTGCTTTCTCTGTTAATTCAGTGTTACAAATATACTTTTTAATATTCTTTATATAATACTTTTCATTATATTGTATACCGTGTCATGAAAATAGAATTGGTGCCAATATATTTCAATTTTTAAAATTGTTTCTAAGGACATATGAATGGGAAGCAGTTCAACACAGGATGGAACTCTTAATAGATTAAAACTCACTATAAGGTGGTAGGAATTGTACACACCCACCCCAGACTACATTGTATGCCATCCAAATGGGAAATTATTTTATGATTCCCATTTGGAGTTTCTCTGCCTTGGGTAAGGCACGTACATTATTCAAAAATCCCAGGAATTAAAACCATTGTTTAAATACTTCATTGGCAGCAAGTGGAAAATTACAGTGAATTTACACGGGTTCAGCATTGCCATTTTTATATGCGGACCAAACAACATTAAAGAGAGCAGATTGCACCAGAAACTGCAGGTTCATCAGATTTTAGAGTGAAAACAGGCATGGAGAAGTTATCTGTTTCATTCTACCTCACCCCTAGTTCTCAGGAAGCTCCAAACTCAATCCTACCTGGGCTGAGGAGACTGTCCTTTTATGAAAAGTCCTCTGGAGTGGACAAGTCGCAGCTCTCAGTCCTCTATTTCATCATCTAATAGTGATCACTGCCCGGATCTGCCCCCCCACCCGAATACCAATTTTAATCCATTTTGTCCAATTCAATGGAGATGGAGGTCACTTAGGCATATTTGAAAGAGATCCCAGAGATGTATGGCAAAGGCACCTAGGGAGACTGTAAATGCTATTTAGATGTACAGAATTCATAAAACTATCGTGTGCCTGAAAAATTGCATTTTGCTTGTTCCTTTTGTTCTCTGGAATGCTGTGACCTGCCAGAGAAGAAAGTTGAAGACAATTCAAAAGTGGGGAAGTACTAGTTCAATTTCGTTTTGAGTTAAGCAGTGACCATTGTTAACTGAGGGGAACAATTTATATTGGCAGCACATGAAACATCCTGCAGAAAACACTCACTGACCCTCTGCCACTTTTCTTTTAGTTTTCCCCTTTCCTTTTGCAGAATGATCTGAGAACTGGCATGAAAGGTAGTTCTTTTCTATTTACTCTATGCCACTTCTTGCTTGTGTGGAAAACTAAACCATATGAATATTAAACTAGATGTTGTAAATTGCAGTGTGTATATATGGACTTAACAATTTCTGTCATTCGATTTGGCACGTTGCAAGGTTGAAGTGTTTTAGAAACTACAGTGAAACGGTAACTTGAAACAGAAGGTGAGGGTAAGTGTGAAAGAGAATAAACTGTACTTTTAGTAGGTGTATTCACTTTTAGTTTACATTTTACAAAATGGATCTTACGGAAAATTTAGTGATCTTTTCAGTAAGCTGCATCAGACCTTATATTTTACTGTTGCAAACAAAGTCAGTTCCTGAATCAAAATGTATATAGCTACCATTCTGGTAAAGGTATTTTTTATTTGTTTCCAGGAACTGTTTGAAAATTTACCTGCTAATCACTTACTCTTGGCATGTGAAGGACCTGTACCATTGGTTCTACTGTCCTGTGTTTAGGCAGATGGGTAAATAATTGTGCCATCTAGCACTGATACTTAACTGATTTTTTTGCAGTTTGCCATGAATAGAGATTCCCACAGCCTCCCTTATCCCCAGAAGTTATCCTTTATGTAAAGCCTCAACCTCTCCTACTTGATTTTAACCCAGTTGCTTTTCAGTTGATTCCCTACAGATTTTGAAGGAAATCCCCCACTAAATAATTATTTAATAAGCTTAAGTAAAAAAGATGGTGAGGCAGAAGGTCTTACCTATCTATATCTTGGGGGTGATTTTTATTTTTTTAAAATAAAAACACATTTCCTGTACTATATATATAAGGTGCAAAGAATTCAGACTAGAATACATCCAAACATAGACATTTAGAGAATTTTGCAAGCCCTAAGTAGTTTTGTTTAAAGTGATTACTTTCAGGTAGAGATTTACATCTTTGAACCTTGAATAGATCATCAAAAAAGAAGGAAAATCTTTGTGGCTATATACTTTTAAAATATTTTAGGTTGAGGGATTTTATTTTTTCAAAAATAATGGAAGTAAGTAAGTGGATATTGGTTTCTGTCATACTTCCTTTGACTTAAATATGTTGTTGTCTCAAACATGGTAAAGTAGTGCCATCAAAGGAGACTCCTAAATTTATATAAGAAAATGTGTTATCCTGATTTAAGAAAAGAAAATAGAGTGAAGCCTCAGTAAAATACAAGGGGTGAGGTAAAATGGAGCTCAACTTCAGAACATCTAGATTCAGCAGATCTACTTTTTTAAAATGTAAAAGGGATTTTAGAGAAATATTTTGTGAAATGGGGCTTTTTGACAGTAGTCCCTGAGAGATCACAAAGGAATGTCTTTCCTGTAAAGCCAAAGAATTCACAATTTTTTTGATAGAAATAGCTGATCATTTTGGTAGTAGAAGCAGCCATGGTATTTCTGTATTCTTATAAGTAATTATTTTGTGTTTAGAAGTAATTTGCATTCTGTTTTCTGCTGTCTGGTAAGGGTATTGACGAGACTGTCATCAATAGTTGTATAAAAATCAAGTATTTCCAGTCAGACCTTTCCTAAGTTAGTGTGTTGCCATGATGGTGATAATTGATATTCTATGGATGAAAGAAAAATGACTGACAATAAAAATTATTGTTTCTCTGGGATACTTTACGTAATTTAAACATTTTAGAATTGCAATGTTGGCCTCAGAACAGTTGGCTCACGCAGCACTTTCACTAAATCAGCAACTAAGAGCTTAGTGGAGTTTGACATTCCTAAGAAGGTTTTGTCCTCTCTCTATTGCTCTTTCTCACTAGACCATAGCTAAATATGCTTAGACAAGAATTTTGAGTTCTGTGGAAGCGTGGAGAAAACTGACTTTCTTCCTCTTTCTTTCGGTCAGTGTGCTGGAGAAGAGAAGCGAGTTGGTACACGCACAGTGTTTGTTGGCAATCATCCAGATTCAGCAGCAGAAGTTTACATTACACAAAGGTTTTGTGATAATAGGATAGTCTCATCTAAGGTAAGTTTTTAACTCCACATACATTCATATAGTGAGCCAGATAATGCACTTGTTTTTATGTTTCTGAGGAAGCTGGTGCATTTATATATGCATAAATGGCCGTGCACTTATACCAGTCATATACTGACTGTGATAATTATTCCACCAAAAAACAGTTTTTTTAAAAGTATCAGTTTGTCTCGTTATAGCTGAAACATTATTCACTTGCCTTCCATTATGATTTACAGTGTCTGTTGATTATACATCTTACTTTAAGCCGTAAAGTGTGCTGAAAGTAGGAATTATTTACTTGCTTAAAACTTCTGATAATGCCCTTACTTGGATGGACTAGTTTGTAAATAATTTACATTTTGGTGGGGAGAAACATCTGTTTCTCTTTCTGTTTCACTGAGGAGCTTCTCAAGTACATGCCTGGGTTCTAAGGGTGTACCCTGCTCAGTACAATGCTTGAACAGTTAAGAATCTGAAGATCTGAGTTTAAATCCCGGCCTGAGGATTTACTAGCACTGTGACTTTGTCCAAATTAATCCCTAAGTCTGAATGTTCTCTTCAGTGGAATACAGCTGATAGTCAATGTGTGAAAGCACTCTTTATAGTTTCTAGTACCTATAGTCATCATTCTACAAGTATTAGTTTACTAACCTTAATCATTACCTTTGGCTGACCAGATTAGGTGCTAGGTGCTGGATGGTTGACCCACTGCCATCTCTTGTACCATGGCATAGATTTTGGTAATTTTCCGTACTTACTCATGCAACCTGACAAGAGATATCTAAAATGTGGTTGACAGTTGGTTCACTGCATGTTTACAAACATCTTAGAACCTGCAACACAATATTATGCAATTTTTTAAAATTTTAACATTTTCGTTTTCTTTCAAAAGGCTTTTTTAGAATAGATTTTTTAAATTTATTTTTTTAAAGATTTTGTTTATTTTTAGAGAAGGGTAGGGAGGGAGAAAGAAAGGGACAAAAACATGAATGTGTGGTTGCCTCTTGTGCACCCCCTGCTGGGGACCTGGACTGCAACCCAAGCATGTGCCTGAGACTGGGAATCGAACACGCAACCCTTTAAGTCGCAGGCCAGCACTCAATCCACTGAGCCACACCAGTCTCAGCAACATTTTAGTTTTTAAACATATATATGATTTATATTTGGGTAGTGATGTGCAGATTATGCTTAGCTAGGAGATTAACATGTAAATATGGACAGAATGAACAAAAACTGTGTTGTCTTATGATCTGATGCCCTGTAGAACACTATGAGTATAGTTGGATGTGATGTATTTCCTGTTAATTTTTAGCCTTATGGCAGAAAATTTATCTTCAATCAGTAACTTCCATATGTGTGCCCAAAATAATGAATAGTCCTTCACTGAAAATTGTGACTTACCCCTTAATATCTAAGAAAACAATCAATAGTAGTTATCTGGCTCAGAATCATAGACTTGTAGACCTGAAAGATCCTAAGATGTCATCTTGTTCAATTCAATGACTTTGCAGATGGAGAAAGCAAACCTAGAGGAACTGTGAGTAAGTGATGTGGTCTCCAAACTGAGTTAGTAATAAAGCCCTTTTCATATCATTGTGCTATTTGGGCTTCTTTCTCAGTTTCATCTCCCCTTTTGCATCAAGTGAAATATAAAGTACTTTCTAGGGAATTATTGTTTTCCATAGTTTTTTTATGTGGAAGATGGCAAAGTGACTTTCCGTTGGACTAGTGTTAATCATTTTGTTGTGATATATTTTGCATTTTCATATTTTCAAAGAACATTTAAAACTCAGTTTAATTCTCAACTCTTTTTGTATTTAATAGGATATTTCTCATATTTTACCTAGCTTCAGTTTTGCCAGCAGGTAAAATAATGCAATAGGATATTTTTTTAAATATTCAGGAGCTCACAGGACAAAAAAAGAATGTGTCCAAACAGGTTTGTTTATATGTGTATGTATATGTTTTAGAAACCAGAATAAAGCATTTAACATTGATGGACTTACAGATCTCTTTTTTCTCTGTAAATATTATGTTTACAGTTTTTTTAGTTAACTGCATATTAACTAATCTGTTTTTTCATAAAAGAGCTAGAGCAGAAAAAGAAGAAATGACAGTGTATGAGTAGGGGGACCCAAAAACACCTGGGATTTATTTATAAAATGTTGTCTATTTATTCTTACATGTTTAAACTCCAGTCACCTTCAAAATACTCTCCATTGATGCAATACACCTATTGAGACATTTATTTCCACTGCCCAAAACAGTTTTTGAACTCATCGATTTCAATGCATTTTAGTGCTTCTGCTCTTTTTTGTTTCACCTCTTCCACGTCAACAAGAATGTTTCCCTTTAAGGACTTTTTTCATCTGGGTAAACAAACAAAAAGTCATTCAGGGCGAGATAGGGTGAATGAGAGGGTGGGATATGGGGGGGGCGGGGCATGATGGTTTTGGTCAAAAATGCTGAACACTCCGTGCGGTGTGGGCAGGTGCGATTGTAAACCACCCATCATGAAATGGGCAAACGTGTTGAGAGAATCTTCAAAACAAAAATTCACTGAGGCCAAGTGCAGCCTCTCACAACAGCTCCAGCTGGTACACTGATACAGATGGGTTCCTAGAACACTCACCTAGCAGGGGAAGGCTGTACTAAAGAGGCCCGCCCTCCAGAAGATAATTCCAGTTATTTGGGGGGAGGGGTTCCCCCTCGTACTAACCACAAAAAACAAAATCTTCATGCAATGATATTTATAAGAGGATAGTACACAGTGCAGTTGATAAAGAGCTCCATTCTTGTAGACAGAAAACCTAGGTTTGAAGTTAAAATAAGTCATCTAACTTCTAACTTCTCTGGTCTCAATTTTCCTATCTGTAAAGTGGGGATATTAACAATATTTACAGGATTGTGATGAGGATGAAATAAAGTAACCCACAGAAAGCATTTGAGCATTGTGCTTGGCTTACAGTAACAACTCAATAAATGGTAGCTGCTATTATTACTTATATTTCTGTGGTTATTGTTACTATAGTCCTGAACAGTACTATTGACTTCCTCAATTTCATGTGCTTTGAAGGTATGGAATTATTTCTCTTAAAAAGAGGCCTTTGGATCCATTCTGGAGAGAATAATAGTTTCATAATTTGACATTTTATTCCTCACATTGTCTTTTGGCTATTTGTATTTGCACCAGAATCTTTTAATTGAAGAAATGTACAATTTTTTTAAGCTTTCCAAATGATTCTTTAATTGGCAAGTACTTTAAGATATACAAACACATTACATTGCCACTAGAAACAGGAAACCAAACCTCAAAGGCAGTTTTATAACTTTATTTGACAATTAGCAGTTACGTCTCATCCACATTAACTGTTTGTAGATTTTTGAAAGTGGTGACAGGTACATAGGTGACCAACGTATAGAGCTTGTTTGGTGAATCTTCATCCTCATTTCGTTTTCTGGACAACCGCACCTGTATACCGTATGGGACGTTCCTTATTCCTTTGGCCCAGAGGGCTTTGTTGAGCCTGGTGTCAATGCCCACATCTGGAGTTCCCTTCTCCTTCATGGCAAATTTCCGGATCTCTTTGAGTGCCTGAGGGGCACGCTTCTTGAAGCCCACTCCATGGATGCGCTTATGGATGTTGATGGTGTACTCTCTGGTCACTACCTCGTTGATGGCAGAACGGCCGTTCTTCTTGCCACCCTTCTTTGCGGGAGCCATTATGCCGGGCCCAAGCTGGAAAGCTGAAGAAATGTACAATTTATAGAATATGTTAGCTGCCTTCCAACTTTGTAGCAACTGTTGATTTTCTCTCTCAATTCTTTAGTAATAAAAATAATTTTCTTTTAATTGATTGCTTTCTGTTTGTTTACAAATGGCCATCAGTAATGTCAGTGTAACACTGGGAATAAGTCTTGCTGATGTAAGGAGCACTAAAGATTTAAAAAAAAACTTGGACTTAAAATTTTACTTATAAAATTAGTGTTCTTCTCTGTTTCTGAGAATACAAACATTTTCTTTAGAAAAACTTGCTTGGGAATCACCAGAATTATGTAGTTGGTATGAAATTTGGAAATCCCCTCCTACAGTAAAAGAAGAATTGATTGCTCCTGCCAGGATCTTTAGCTTTCATTGTATTCCTCTGTTCCAATTTTCTCTTTTTCTTTAAAAATCCTAAGCCTTACCTTGAAGGCCCTTCAGTGGGATAAGAATCAGTGAACTTCACCTAACTCTTTGAAGGTATGCCCCAGGTTAATCTGAGTACTCTTAGGTAAAAGAACATCTTGGATTAAAGTTTCAAGCCTAAAAATATGCTAGTATTTATCCTCATTTTAAAAATCAGATCAAGGACCCTTGGACATGGACAAAAGGGTGGGGATTGACTGAGAGTCTGCAGGGGAGGGGGGTGAGTGGGCAGGGTAGGAGAGACCAAGGCGGGATTTGGGACAAGTGTAATAGAACAACAATAAAAAAAATAAATAAAATATCAGATTTGCCTGTAGAATTTCTTAGATATCTCTTTGCCTGAGTCTTATCAAATTCCCGGAAGGTCCCTTTTTAGCTGAAGTTACTAAATCCTAATGCAGTAATATCCTGGTTACTCTTTTTGTTCTTCTCAATTTATGGTAGAGAGAGTGATACTTAAAAAGAGAACGTTGCTTGGCATTGGTAAGGGAAATGAAAGTAGACTGCTATGATGCTCAAAATTGTATTTAATGCCTATAATAAGGAGAGCTGATAATCAAATGAATACAGTAATTTAAACAGAATGAATAGTCACTCCAGCTATAAATCTGCTTTTTTACAACTGGGTGCTTATTTACAACTAATCTTAAAGTTGTTATTTTGTTCCATAAGATCCAAATCTTAGTACTTAGAAAAGTCAGTGCTCCTTCTGATAGCTCATTCACAATTGGCTGTTAACTTTTATGGTTACTTTAAATAGTAACTGCTTACTTTTTAACTGTTTCTCTTTCCCATGTGATGTACTGACAGAGTAGAACAAGTTACTTAGAGACTTATTACACTGTTACATTTTTAATGCTAAATCAGAAAAATTGTGGACCTTAGGTAAAAACAGGTAATGTTCTAAAGCCCCTTCTTGGCTTAAATTGAAATAACAGACTCTCAAACTGTAATTTAATTTATTTCAATCCCCCCTCCTTTAATTAGTGGTTAATGTTAGAGGGGCTGACCCACAGTTGTTTTACATAATTGCATCTGAAGAGGCCACATTTATGTACCAATTATATAGTTAACTACAGAGCAGATGTAAAATGCATTATATATACTTGGGAAGCTGGTGTTTTTCTGTAGAATCTATTTTTTAAATTTTATTTTTTTTCTCACCTGAGGATATGCTTATTGATTTTGGAGAGAAGGTGGTGGGAAACATCAGTGTGAGAGAGAAATATTAATTGGTTGCCTCTCACACCCGCCCTGACTGGGGACCGAACCATTTATAATCTAGGTATGTGCCCTGGTCAGGAACTGAACCCGACCTTTTGGTTTATGGGACAGTGCTCCACCTAACTCAGCCACACTGACCAGGACATAGAACTCCTTTTTACACATGTTCTAAATGTTGGTGTTGCTTTGTAAGTTTATAATTGCATGTTAAGATAGCATAAAAGATCTACTTAGTGACTTCTTTGAGCGAGAACTTACTTATGACACCCACCCATCTTCATTCTGATTGTTAATGAAACAAATGTTATAAACACTTTCTTCCTGTGAACTAACATTGTATTTGGTTTGTAGCAACTAAGATCGAGATTACTGATCACCCCAATAAATCTAGTACCCACCTGGCACAATGCATAGTTATTATATTATTAACTATATTCCCTATGCTGCACTTTATATCCCGTGACTATTTTGTGACTACCAATATGTACTTTTTAATCCCTTCCTGTATTTTACTCATTTCCCCAACTCCCCTCCCATCTGGCCACCATCACGATGTTCTTTACCTATGAGTTTGTTCACATTTTGTTTGTTCATTTATTTTGTTCTTTAGATTCCACATAAAAGTGAAATCATAAGGTATTTGTCTTTCTCTGTCAGACTTATCTCACTTAGCATAACACCGTCTAAGTCCATCCATGTCATTGCAGCTCATTGTAACTCATGACCTCAAATAGGAAAGGAAAGGGCATATACCGGTAGTTTCCTATAAAGGGAGTAAGCATAGTTCCTATAGGAAGCCATTCTTTAGGAAGTTACAAAAGTGCTAAAGGAACCATGAGGCCCTAGAAACAACAACAAAAATGTTCCCTTTTATGTGTTAAGACCCATGAGAGGACGCTGACAGTTCCTAATGTTTGTTTAATTAAAAATCCTTTAGTTAGCCCTGGCTGGTATGGCTTAGTGGATTGGGTAATGGCCTGAGAAACAAAAGGTCACCAGTTCAATTCCCAGTTGGCCAGGTCCACAGTTGGGGGGCATGGGAGAGGCAACCAATCAATGTATCTCTTACACATTGATGTTCCTCTCCCTCTCTCCCTTCTTTCCCCTCTCCCTAAATATAAATAAATAAAATCTAAAAGTTAAAAAATAAATAACAACATCCCAAGTTTGTTTGTTTGTTTTTTAAATCTTTTAGTTACGGAACATAAGGTCAACAAGCCAGAAGTTCAGCTCTTAGCCTATTGTTGGGATAGTTAGGTGCTGATCTGGACTGCATCAGCTTGAAAGTGTGACTGGATCAATGGTTTCGATCCCTTTTATTTTTGGACACAAGCTGCCTTGGGAATCTGATGAAAGTGTGAACTCTCTTCTCCCAACTGATGCCCAGGCACCCACAGTTCTGCACTTCATTTTGGATGGGCTTCCTTGAGGAATTTCTGAACCTTGGGGGAAGAACTTTGTAGGTTGTCTATTGGTTGGAAGGCAGCCACATCACTGAATATGTTTCCCTCTGCTCATCTTCATTTTTCTTGATATTCCCCTAGGAAATATTGAGCCCATAAACCTTTTAAAGAGGCGTTAGTAGTATATTTCTATACACCCTACTTAATGGATTTTTTTTCACATTATGGAGATAGTTTGGGCTGTTCTAGTATAAATTTAGATATTTAGGTTAAACATTTTTTTTTCTGGTTTCTCATCTTCTTAATTAAGACATCTATGAAATCCAACTTCTGGTGATTTTTAGTGACCCACTCCTTGAGCTTAAGTTATTGGTGAGAAAGAAAGTCCATGTGATTTGATTGTTGGCTCAAGAGGTCTCTCCTCCTGCCCATGTACACTTTAGCATTGAAACCTTTACATATTACCAGTTACCAAAGCCCAGGGTGGTATGTTAATTAAAGTGAAAGCCCTCTGTGATCCACGGTTATGTATACACCTCAGTTGTCATGGAGGTACTGATAGGGACAGAGTTATATCTATGACTGCGATCAAGACTCCAAAGGGTAGCTGAGCCAGAGGAATTAATTTGTTCATTCATTCATCCAACTAATTTTATTGAGTGTCTACTTTGTGTCAGGCATCATGCTAGATGTTGGGGGAAATAATGAAAAGACAAATGGACAGCCCACTCATTGCCTATCGAGGGGGACATTTTAAATTAAAAATGCACACATATGTAGTTATCCACTGCAACAAGTATTATCAAGAGAGTATAGGATGATATGAGAGCACATAACAAGGAACCTAATTTAAATTACGTCAGAGAAAGTAGATGTGTGGGACTAGATGGTCCGATTGTAATGATCAAAGTACAAACTTTATTACTAAAAAGTGTTTATTTACTATACCTCTAAGTATATGCTTATTCATATGTGTGAGATGTGGGTTTTAACATGTTTTCAGAGTGTTGGGATAATCTGGACCGTATTATTTATTACTACTAAGATATATCAGTTGATTTCTAATAATATATTTTTCTTTCTTTTTTACAGTATACACTTTGGAATTTCCTCCCAAAGAACCTGTTTGAACAGTTTAGAAGAATTGCAAATTTTTATTTTCTCATCATTTTCCTTGTACAGGTAAGAGCTCCATAATAGGCACTCTACTTTTAGAGACTTAATTACTTCAAACAAATTTTCAATCCATTTCCAGTCTTAAAATGCCCTGTGAATAAAAAGATGCTTCAGGGCTTATTATAATAATACTTTTTAAAGTACTAATATTCATTACATTTTAAGTTTTATTTTGTATATTTCTAAAGTAGCATTTTCACTAGAAAACTTGTTGAGATTCTTTTTAAAAACTTTCATGGATTTTATATCTCTGTTCATGCTAGAAGGACATGTACTGGATACCATTAAACACAGTGGTATGTATTAAATTGAAAATAGTTTAATAGTTTACTTTTTTAAGCACTAGTTTCAGCTTAATTGAAAATTTATCACTTCCTGATTCTCAGTTTTGCTTTTCATTCATTTATTTTAAGGGTGATAGCCTAGTATTTAGACATTTTAAATTGCATCTTCCATTTTTAAGTCTATAAGTGATTAAAATCTTCCTCTTGCCAAAATCACCCCCTGAAAAGTTTACTACATTAAAGGTACTTTTTTCTTCTCACTTCATTTTTTAAAATGAAGGAGAAACATCCAGTGCAATTGCTCAAATACCTTGTTGATGTTAAGTGCTTCTGTTTATTCACTTTAAGTCTTTGAGTAAATGGTACTGTAATTGAATTTAGCCCTGCTTCTTAAAACCAATCTGGGTTGTGATATGGGAAAGAGCCAGTTTCAATCTTGAATGACAGGGCATTTGAAAAGGAGCTCTTCTACATTCGTGGTAAGATGTCTTACAGAACAGCATAAGATAAAATGCTTAGAGAATTGTATTCAGAAGAGTCATTCCACTTGGCATGCAGGGTGTTTCAGTTCAGTTCAGCAAACATATACCAAGCACCTATTATGTGCCCTTCAGTAGTCCAGGCAGCAAAGATTTTAGCAGATACAATGAAAATTGAGATAATGGCTTTTCTATCCTTAAGGAATTTATGGTATAGCCAAAAACAGTCATGTATTCACTTAATTTAATATAGTGGAAGTCATAAAAATAGCATGAGCAAAATGCTATGGAGATACGGTGGAAGTTGTACTTTTTTCCTACCCAGGAGGAGCTTGAAAAGGCTTCAAAGAATAGGTGATTTCTGAACTAAGCCTTGAAGGATTCAAGACTGGTGTTTCAGTCTGTGCATGAAGGCACAGAGGCCTATAAAAGGTTATGTCTGCAACACAGCGTGTGAGGCAGGGGCAGGACTGGATGGGGGTTAGAGATGAGAGGCAATGAATTGTGAGGGCAAATAGAACTCATGGTCCTCTGACCCTCAAATCTAGTTCTCTTTTATTATTTCCTATTTCAGTGACTGATGACATCATCCACCAGCTATCTTAACGAGATACTTGGAAGACATCTTTAATCAGCCCTCATGAGAAATTCCTTACCAGTCCTGCCATATTTGCCTCTTAAATATCTCTGGAACATCTTCCCATGTCTGCTGCTACTCCCCTTGCCCAAGCCATCATCTTTTATTTGCATTAGAGCAGTAGCCTCCTCAACAGACTCCCCGTCTCCACTCTTGTTCTCTTCCATTTTATTTTCCACAAAGCAGTGAGAATATCTTCAAAATGTAGTTCTCTTCATGTGACCTCTCCAGGCTTAGAAGCTTCAATTATTTTCCACTGTTGGTGGGATAAAGAATAAATTCCAGTGTAAGAGGGTCCTGCTTGGTCTGTCCCGTTTCCCTCTCCGGCCCCATCTCACAACAATCTTTTGCTACTGGATTCCTTTATTCCCTTAACCTCTGCCACACTCCCATCATAGAGACGTTGTATACACTGTTTACTGTTCCTGGAAAGCAACCCCCCTTTCACCTAGTTAACTTCAATGAGTCATGTGTTTAATGCCTGGTTTTCTCTGTAAGCTGCCAGCTATATGAGGTTAGGGATTTTCCTCCATCTGTTTAAAGCAGCATCTGTAGAGCTTGGCTGATAATAGCACGGGGCCTGACAGAATGGTGCTCAAAAAGTAGATGCTAAATGAATGGATGTATTTCAGTAAAGGGGTTAATCTAAGCTGGGATGAAAACTAAACCTGATTTAGAACTATTTTCTTAAATTAACTGTTGTATGAATTGCTTTTGTTTTACTGAAAGTTAACATTCACCCTGCTACCAGAATGTGTTTTGTCTGCATTCTGGCTGAAATTTTTGCAGCAGGTAAGTGCCACATAGAAGTTATTAGCTTATTTTCACTTTACTTTCAATTTAATATTTTTACTTAGGTCATAGTAGATACACCAACTAGCCCAGTTACCAGTGGACTTCCACTTTTCTTTGTTATAACTGTTACGGCCATCAAGCAGGTAAATTTCTTATTTACAATTTTGCCTGCATTTTATTCCTCTCTGGTTTAAATTTCATTGTCAAAGGTTTTGGGTTTTTTTTTCCCAAATGTATATAGAGTGGGCATTATCTCTGATGGATTTAATTTATATTTGGTTCCTGTTGAAAACCTGTTAAAATGATTGTAAAGTACATGCTTAATTTCCTTGCTCCTTTCCTCCTCAGTATTTGTGTGTGGTGATGTAACTCAAAAAGAAACAGTAGGTGGAAAGTATAGCTTAGTCGGGAAATGGGAGGCAAATTTTTAATGTGCATTAATTTTTTCATTGTGGTATGTCTGTCAGAAAAATATCCATTCTAGTGGGGTTTTTTGTTTGTTTGTTTCTTTGTTTTTGCCTATAGCAGAGAACTCAAGAGTATAAGTACTTCAAATTCTGTTGCCTTTCCTGCAGATGCTGAAGGGGATGGTGGGTAGAGGAGACTTTTATTGTTTCCTGTCAAAACTGACAACTGCTACAGTTTGTAATGCTGATGTTAAGAGACTAAAGGGGCTAAAGGCATCCATTTGCCTGTGTACAGCAAAAAAAGTGAGTTATATTTAGGAAGTGGCCTGCCTGAGTCACAGGTGAGCTTATGCTCAAAGACCTGGCTCCTGGGTGGTCTCCAGGAAAGAGATGATACAGGAAATAGATGGTGACTGAGGGGGTTAGGATCGCCATCTCTACTGAGTGGCCGGCACTAAGGTAGCAGTAGTTGACCAGTGCAGCTGCTCCACGTGGCAGCCATGGCATCGCATGGTCAGGTGTTGCTGCTTTTCTGGGCCTGGAGCTGAAACACAACGGAGGCCTAGATGTTACCTCTTGTTTGGCCAGAACTCTGTCTCTGTGGGCAACAGACCTGATGCTTTGTTCCTGAGATTATTTGATGCTGATCAGAGCCTCATTGTCCTGAGAGAGTGGACATGCAAGGGAGAAGGAGGCAGGCGAGCCGCGTGCAGGACGAGGCCAGTTTAAATCAAAAGGAAAGAAAGGAGAAAAGGTTATAAAGAAATGAAGTTCCTGTGTGGTTACAATGTGTTTGAAGTATTTCGAGCATTTTATATGATAGTACCTTTTAGACAGTACTTACCAAATTTATTTTAACAGTGTCTTGACTTCCAAATAAAGGTCTCCTTAACAGTATTGGGAACAAGGTTTCCTTTCCTTTTTTGGTTATCTGGTCTTCTCTCTTGCCTAACACAAACTACAAGAATATTTAATCAAGTTCTCTGTTCCTAAATCACGACTTTTGGAATGTTCTTTCCGTTAGGCTGTTCGGATTATTTTCTTTAATATCATAGAATTGCTACTTCACAAAATAGCCTATATGGTTTCAAAAGCTCTTACTGATTCATTTTATTCTCAGTACTAGTTCATTCTAGGGCCTTTCTTGTCTCACTGAAATGATAGCTTAGCATTGTGATAAAGAGTGACAGAGTAGGAATGAATATAGAAACTGAGAAAAAAAAGGGTGGAAGTGATCAAGGGATTCTTTAAACAGTTTATCTGAAAAGGTACAGACACAATTATAAAGAATAAAAAGAAAGTGATGTAAAAACAAGGAGAGGAGCTTGTGCTCAAGCAAATGAACATCCTCCTTCCTTGGTTCTTTTGCCTTAAATACACTTCACATGAAAAGCCCAAAGAAAAATGAGCCATTAGACTTTTCCCTGATTACTTTTAATTCTAACAAATGAACACCAATTTATATTCTTTTATCACTAAGTCAGTGTAGAAGTTTCACTGTTGATCCCTAACACTTCTCGTATATTCTCTGCCAAAATAATCCTAGCTTGCCTTTTCTATTCGGTTCCTGGGAGGAATTCAGTTTCCTCAGAGATGATCATTACAGTAGTGTACTACAGAAGAAGATTGTGTTTTGCTGTGTCTAATGCACATTTTTTTTCCCAAATAAGGATGCACATTATACATCGGTATGATGATTACATATCATGGGTATAATAATCCTGTGTATAATATGCACAAAAGCATGGGTGCACATTATGCATGACAGTGCATTATACATAGCAAAATACGCAATATTTAAGTGGTTAAGTCTGTAAGAAAATACCACCCAGAAAAGATTTCCTTCAAATTCAAAAGTAGAAACAACAAACATTAACTTGAATAAGAGTAGAATTAGAAGAATAGATCATAGTCCTTCACAGTTGAAGAATATTAAGGGTCTAATGCCTGTGTTTTCATTAATAGTTAAAATGTAGAATGGAGGAATCTTTTAATACAGTAAAGCTATTTACTTAAGGGGTATTTTGAAAGCATACCTTAGTTATTCTATAAAAATGTACAGTGTTGTGTCTTTAACATTATGAATTGAAATAAATACTGTAACTATAAGTATCTGCTGGAAACTCATTTAGGGGGTTATAGAAATTAACAGCTTCATTACATAAGCTTGACATAGGTTTTTTGTAATCCTTCTAGGGATATGAAGATTGGCTGAGACACAGAGCTGACAATGAAGTCAACAAGAAAACTGTTTACATTATTGAAAATGCAAAGCGAGTTAGAAAAGAGAGTGAAAAAATCAAGGTATTAATTTTTGTAGCTCATTCTTTTTTACTGTGGTGGAAACAAACCTTTTAAAAATGGACAGTTAATACAGTGGTGTTTAGTACATTTGCTGTGTTGTGCAACCATCAACAATGTCTAGTTCTAGAGCATTTTCATCATTCCAAAAGGAAACCCCCCTAAGCTATTAAGCAGTCATGCCCCATTCCTCCCTCCCCAGGCCCTGGCAACCACTAATCTTCTTTCTGTCTCTATGGATTTACCTATTCTAGATATTTTATATAAAAGGAATCATACACTGTGTGGCCTTTTTTGGCTGGTTTCTCATTTAATTTAATGTTCCTTAGAGTCATTCATGTTGAAGCATGTATTATTCATTAGTTTTTACAGCTGAATAACATTCCATTGTCTGGCTATACCACAATTTGTTTATCTACTCACCAGTTCATGGAAATTTGGGGTTTTTTCCACCTATTACCTATTAGGAATATTGCTGGTATGAACGTTTCATATAGAAGTTTTTGTTTGAACATCTGTTTTCAATTCTTTTGGAAATATACCTAGGAATATAATTGCTAGGTGTGATAACAGTAATTCTATGTTTAACTTTTTCATGAACTACAAATTGTTTTCCACAGCAGCTTACCATTTTATACCAGCAATGTATAAGAATTCCAAAGTTATTTTTTAATATCTCAGGCATTTTAATTTTTTATTCAAACTAATCAGTGTTTATTATTACCTAATAAGAGTCCTGTCAGTAAGATTTCAAACTTTTCTACATCAAATATTTTTATTGCCAATAGTCTTTTTTATTTTTATCTTTTTAACTGTATTTTATTGATTATGCTATTACAGTTGTCCCAATTTTTCCCCTTTGCCCCCTCCACCCAGCACCCCCAGTCCCTCACACAACTCCCTCTCCCACCATTGTTCATGTCCATGGGTCATGTCCATGGGTCATGCGCATAAGGAAATGGCTACTCCATTTCCTGTACTGTACTGTACATCCTCATAGTTATTCTGTAACTACTATTTATATTTTTAATCAGCTCCCCTCTTCACCCATTCCCTCACACCCCCATCCCATCTGGCAACCATCAAAATGTTCTCTGTATCCATGATTCTGACTCTATTCTTCTTGTTTGCTTAGTTTGGTTTTTTTTAGATGCAGTTGTTGATTGATATGTATTTAATGCCATTTTATTATTATAATTCTGATATTTTTCATTTTTTAAAATAAGTCCCTTTAACATGTCATATAATAATGGTTTGGTGATGATGAACCCCTTCAGTTTTTTTGTTGTCTGAGAAGTTCTTTATCTGCCCTTCAATTCTAAATGATAGCTTTGCTGGGTGGAGCAATCTTGGCTCTAGGACCCTACTTTTCATGACTTTCAATATTTATAACAAATCCCTCCTAGCCTGCGAAAGTTTCTTTTGAGGCACCATCTGACAGTCTTATGGGAACTCCTCTGTAGGTAACTAACTGCTTTTCCCTTGTTGTTTTTAAGAGTCTCTCTTTACCTTTAACCTTTGGCATTTTAATTATGATGTGTCCTGGAGCGGGTCTCTTTGCATCCATCTTATTTGGGACTCTGTGCTTCCTGGACTTGCATGTCTATTTCCTTTGCAAAATTAGGGAAACTTTCTTTCCTCAGCTTTTCAAATAGATCTCCCATTTCTTGCTCTTTCTCTTCTTCTTCTGGCACCCTTCTGATGGTAATGTTTGACCTCTTGAAGTTGTCCCAGAGGCTACTTATACTATCCTCTTTTTTGGGGGGGATTCTTTTTTCTTTCAGTTGTTCTGATTGGTTGTTTTTTGCTTCCTTATGTTCCAAATCACTGATTTGATCCTTGGCTTCATCCACTCTACTGTTGTTTCCCTGTAAATTATTCTTTACTTTAATCAAAGTTCCTTGAGCATCTTAATAACCAGTGTTTTGAAATCTGCATCTGATAGATTGCTTATTTCCATTTTATTTAATTCTTTTTTTTCTGGAGGGTTTCTTTTTTTATTTAAAGATTTTATTCATTTATTTTTAAAGAGGAGAAGGGAGGTGGGGAGAGAGGGAGAGAAACATCAATGTCTGGTTACCTCTTGCATGCCACCTCCCCTCTACCAGGGCCCTGTCCTGCAACCCAGAATGTGCCCCAACAGGGAATCCAACTGGTGACCCTTTGGTTCACAGGCAGGCACTCAATCCATTGAGCCATGTTTTTTTTTTTTCTGGAGTTTAGACCTGTTCTTTCATTTGGGCCTTGTTTCTTTGTCTTCTCGTCTTGGCAGCCTCTCTCTGTTTGTTTTTATGTACTAGGTAAGGCTACTGTGACTCCCTGTCCTGGTAGCATGGCCTAATGTAGTAGGTGTCCTGTAGGGTCCAGTGACGTAGCCTCCCCTATCACCCAAGCTCAGTACTCGAGGTATACCCTTTATCTGTGCTGACTACACTCTCCTCTTGTAGTTGAGCCATGATTGCTGTTGGCAGGTCAGTGGGAGGGGTTTACCCAGGCCAGTCAGCTGCAAAGACTGGCTGTGACCATTGACCAGTAACCTCTGCCCTCATGGAGGATCAGCTGTGCAGGAGCAGGGAGTTGGTGCTCCAACGTGGTCTGTAGCTGTCCACTGGGTGCGCAGTCTCTGGGGTTTCCCAGTTGGTGCAGGCCAAGGTCCTCCCAAACCTTCTTTTGTCTAGTGCCACCCTGTTTATATAGCCCTATCTATAAGCTATAGAGCAGTATGAGATGGCTGTTACGTGTGCTGGGCTTGAAAATAACCAGACTAAGCCAAGTTGTGAACCCAGACTGGTTTCTGCTAGTGCTGGGCCTGGGGCCACTTAGGAAGAGGTCCAGGGGGCTGAGGTCTCACTGAGGCTGGCTTGGCTGTTGCTTGTTTGACTGGATTTAGGAAGTTGTGAATCTTGAACCAAGACTGGCCATTCATATGGAAGAGCAGCTTGGGTGGGTCCGTATATTGGGTGAGATGGAGTCTCTGGGGAGCTCCAGAGTGTGGCAGCTGTGTTAGCCAGGTTGATGGAGAGTCAGATATGTTACCAGCCTGCTGGTTCTGTGCCTCTGTTGGGGGACAGTTTAGAAAAGGGACAATGTCCTCTGCTTGCCTTGATGCCAGACCTGTATACCACTGTTGCCGTTTAAGCTGCTGCTGTGGTACTGGAGCTCAGAGAGAGTGAGTCTGGGTATGTCTGTGTATTGGTTCCTTAAGAGGAACTGCTTGGGACTCCAGAAGTTTCTTCCACCGACTCAATTCCAACTAGTTTTTACAGCCAGAAGTTATGGGAACTTATCTTTTTTGCATTGGAACCCTGGGTAGGAGGGGTCTGATGTAGGGCTGGGATTACTCACTTCTAAGATATCTAAGATATCCCTCATGAATTTTTATCCACCAGCCAATGGATGTGAGACCAACTCATCCCATGTCTTTGCCTCTTCCTACCAGTCTGGATGGATGTGGTTTCTTTAATTCCATAGTTGTCAGACTTCCATTCAACTCAGTTTCTGATGGTTCTGAGTGATGGTTGTTCTGTAGTTTAGTTGTAATTTTTACTGTAGTTGTGTGAGGAGGCAAGCCGTGTTTACCTGTGCTGCCATCTTGACTGGAAGACCAACAGTTTTATTTTAATTAATAAAAAACTTCACTTTTTAGAGCAGGATTAAGTTCACAGCAAAACTGAGCAGAAAGTACAGAGCTCACATGTACCCTTTCCCCACACAGGTACAACCTCCATTGTTACCAGCATTCCTCCTCAGAGTGGTACATTTGTTACATCAGTAAACCTACATTGACACATCATTGTCATCCAAAGTTTATAGTTTACATTAGAATTCACTGTTGGTGTTGTATATTCTGTGAACCTGAACAAATGTGTCAATGATATGTATCCACCATTACATTATCATACCAAATTGTTGCACGGCCCTGAATATCCTCTGTGCTGTCTATTCATCCCTCTGTCCTTCCCTTCAACCCGGGACCACCACTAACCTCTTTACCATCTGCATAGTTTTGCCTTTTCCATAATGTCATATGTAGCCTTTTCATATTGGCTTCTTTGGCTTAGCAATATGTATTTAAGTTACCTTCACACCTTTTTGTGGCTTGAGAGCTTTTTTTTTTAATGCTGAATGATACTGTACTGTCTATATATACCAGTTTATTTATCCATTCCCTTACTGAAGGACATCTTGTTTGCTTTCAAGTTTTGGCAATTATGGATAAAGCTATGATAAACATCCATGTGTAGCTTTTTGTGTGTACATAAGATTTCAGTTCATTTGGGTAAATACCAAGTGTGATTACTGGATTGTATATTAAGAGCATACTTAATTTTGTAAGAAACTGCCAATCTGTCTTTATAGTGACTATTCCATTTTGCATTCTCATCAGCACTGAATGAGAACTCCTATTGTTCCACTTCAGCATTCATTTTCAGTCTTGTAGATTTTGGAAATTCTAATTGGGTGTGTAGTGGCATTTCATTTTTGTTTTAATTTGCAGTTCTCTAATGACATATGGTGTTGAACTTCTTTTCATATGCTTGTCATCTGAATATCTTCTTTGGTGAGGTGACTATGTAGGTGTTTTGCCAATTTTTTAAGTCAGATTGTTCATTTTCTTATTGTTGAGCTTTAACAGTTTTTGTATATTTTGGATAGCAGTCCTTTATCAGATATGTTTTTTACAAATGTTTTATCCTAGTCTCAAGGTATTATTTTTATTTTTTTTTATTTTTTTATGATAAAGGGTACATTAATTTACCATGTTAACCACTTTTGAGTACATTTGCATTGTGCAACAGATCTCTAAAACTTTTTCATCCTCTAATACTGAAACACTATATCCACTAAACACTAATTCCCCCTGTCTCCAGCCTTTGGTAAACATCTATTTTCTGTTTTTATGACTGATTACTTCAGAGAGATAATTCCTAAAAGTGGGATCATACAGTATTTGTCCTTTTGAGACTGGCTTATTTTGCCTAGTGTAACATGTTGAAGCTTCA